CCGGGCCCGGCGGCCGCACTGCTGCAGGAGTTGGCTCCGGGACCCAGGTTGCGGCCGAGGGCCTGGGTCACGGGGGATGCGGGCGCTGGGTGCCGTGCGCCCCGGTGTGAACAGCACGCGGGACAAAGGGCGCGGCGTGGAGGGTGCGCGCTCCGCCTGCCCTCGCCTGGGGCTCCTGCGCTCCCTCCGCCCGGGGCCGTGGTCACCCCCGCCGCCCCTGCCCGCTCCAGCTGCGCGGGCGCTCCCTCCGTCCGAGGCGCACCAGGCGCCTGCGTTGCGTCCCCGGAGCGGCCACCTGGCCGCGGGGCCCCGCGCCTGGGCGCCAGCTGGCTGCGGCCCTGGCGATGGCTGGGCGCAACCGGGCCGCTTGGCCGCCTGCCCTGGGTTAAAGGCGGCTCCCCTGCAGCGCCGCTAGTACCAGCTACTCCGCTCTGGCTGCCGAGCGGAGCAGCGGGCCACCAGCCGGAGCGCCCGCGGCCACCGAGCTGCCACTTCCCTGCGGGGGCTTGGAGTTGGGGAAGCCGAGCAGGTGGGGAAGCCGAGCAGGTGGCGCAACCGCCGCCTCACCTCCTGCGAACTCCGCGAGGTTTCTGGTCTTGTTGATGTTGTGACTGTGAGCTGTGTCTATTTTCTTTCTTTTTTTTTTTTCTTTTACCACACACAAAAGAAGGGAGGAGTTAGAGGAAAGATCTAGCCAGAGCATTGTGAATCATCCCACACTGTTCTTTCTCTGGGAGAGCAGATGGATGGGGAGAATTCCTTGAGAAACGGTTACAGTAAAGACTGACTGGACCCCCTCCCTGTCCCCTCTCCGTGCAGTCCTGACCTCGCCTGGTGCGCCCCAGATGGAGGTGGGGTAAAGTGATGCAGACCGACTTAGATGGGAAAATAGCTACAAGCTAGCAAGCTGGAAACTTTCTGGGACAGTGGAACTGTGAATGTCGAGCCACACACAGTCATTCTTGCTGTAGGCGGGTATGGGCCTCACGTGTTACTGAACTAAAAACGGGAAGGCGATCACCAGAGGAAGATACTTGGAGGAGCATTTTGTTCTGCACTGCGTGGTGGAGGGCAATGGAGATGAGGGTCTCCCGTGCCTTGAGGGCCCCAACGGAGGAGCAGTCAGCTCAGGTCTCCTGCTGGGTCAGAAAAGGTCTGGTTCTTTAATCCGATTCCCAGAGAACTGTCTCATCTCAGCCTGGCAGAGGACAGCTGGCATGTGGATGGATTGTTACTGATGGGTGGAAAAGCCGGCCAGAGCCCAGCAGGTCCTTCAGTGCATATGGAAGAAGATTCTGTAGTAGGTGGCTGCTGCTCATTTTTCTGAGTGAATCAGTTAGGTTTCGTCTCCCTGATCCTGTTTCCTGCAGTACAGGCTGCTGTGTCAGCTCTCACTGGGTCCCAAGGGTTCACAGCTCAGTGACACTTGTTTTTTTCAGAGTTGGGAAGGGGTCCCTATTTGAGGTCTTTTTGACTTTTCATTGATGACGGGTTAATTTGTTTAACCCCCTGAAAATAGAGGCTTGATATTAGAAGTTTAAGAAATTGACAATAAAGAGACTTCTGCTTCATTCCAAATTCCACACCTGATAGGGTCGGTTAATTCTGAACACAATGCGAAATCAGCACAGGAGTCAGATGGGGATTAGAGCACCAACTTTATCACTGGTGAAGATGCCTGGAGCGCTGCCTGGACTGAGCCTGAGTCCGCAGTGGGGCTCCCTTCTCACTCCATATGGTGAATATACCATCCAGCCACTCCCAGGGGCCGGGGCTGCCAGGCAGGACATTGCCTAGATAAGAGGACAGGGTGATGCTGGGGGGGGTGGCTATCAAGAGAAAAACGGAACGTGTGCCTTCCTATTTTGTGGCCTGGGTACAAACAAAGCTGTAGGGGGCCGGTCCACCTGTCTGTACCACCTCACGCTGGCAGGGCTTCTGTTACCTGAGTGCCAAGCCTGGCTGGGATCATTGCAGAACAAAGGCCATTTACTGTGGCCGAAGGGGAGTTGGGAACAGGATCACTGTGTAATGCTGTGCAGTTTATGCAGGGCACACAGGTGCCTGGCCAGGGAAGCAGAGCCCTGGGTCTGCCCAAAAGAAGGGCGCCCTTTTCTTGATTGCATCCGGTCACCTGATGGGCTACTGCCGGCCTTGGTTGGTAAGTCCATCTACCAGAATAAACAGTTGTTGGCAACATTGCTGTTCCCAAGACAGGAGATCAGGGACTAGGCACCAGGAACTAGTTTCTCCAAAATAATAACAATAAAGGGAACTAATTGTGTCCATACATTCTCTCCTTTAATCCTTAGCACAACCTCCTGAAGTAAGTAATGGCACCCACCCTATTGTGCCGATGAGGAATTGATCCTGAAGAAGCCTGGGTAGCTCAAGGTCACACAGGGAGCAAGTCCAAATGCGTCTGTCTCCAGAGCCCGTGCTCTTAACCACTGCTCGAGAGTCTGAGAACTTTGCGTGGCTTCCGAACACATTGTAGTTTTTACTGCATGTGCTGACCCACAGTATTTTCTGAACTGTCCCACTATACACGTTAACCGTTATGCCTTAAATGAAAAGGGCATTTGTGAGTATTTTCAGCGGCAGCAAAGAAGTGGGAACCTTGGAGACGAGGGGAGGGGAGCGGCAGTCAGGAGGCGAGTCAACCAGATGGAGAAATAAGGTGGAGAGCGGGGAGTGGGACAGACTCTAGGTCCCCTGATGTCCCTGTGGTAGAAGAGGGGGAGATCATTCTCAGGTTGACACCCCAGGTCCGGGCGTGGCCCACAGTCTGCCTTCCAGATGTCTTAGCTGTTGCCTGAGGACCAAAATGATTAGTCTGTGTTACAAACAATCTGAGATGCAAAGTGAGACATGACAGCTCATTTCGGAGCACAAATTATTTCCTGATTCAGTGTTCTTCTTGTAAGGCCATTTGAACCTCATGACAACCTTTTGTGAAATAATATTCAAATATTTGGGCCTCAAGCAGATAACATCGAGACCAGTTACGTGACCATTTGTCAGCTCACAGCTCTATTGTGTGTTTAAAATTGATATAAAGTATTTGCTTTCCTCCACATGAATTTTCTAAATCAAAGAACACTTTTATTCCCTCCATGTTAAGTCATGGTATCTTACTAGCTATTCAGTCTTTTTAATTAATTAATTTTTTTTTTTTAGTAGCAGGAGTAATTTCTTTAGCTGAAATATAGACATAGTGGTTGGGCCCTGCCTGGTGACCTATGTTGTGTTTGCATCTGTAGTTTGGATTCGACCAATGGTTTATCCTTTCAGTGGGAAAGAAAAGAAAGGCAGCAGATAGTAGCTGGAATATTCCTCCCAGCACTTGCCGAGAGCATGAGTTACATCAGGTGGAGAAGCTCAAGGGACCAGCAGTGAGAGAGCTGCAGAGCCTTCCTCTCTGGACTGTAATCTGCACCTCTGCCCAGCACCTGGAAAGTGGCAGTGTTACCACAGAATGGGTGTCCCGTTGACTGTTGGATCTGTCTCCGTGTTGTCTCAGATAGACGCCCATAGAAAAAGATGCCTGTGACCTCAGATGGCGTGTTTGACTGACTTCTTGATTCCGTAATCTGGGGTACTCCCTTAGAGACCTGGAAACAAATGCATCTAAACTGCCTTCCCAGTCGAGGGGCCTGGGATTCTCCTCCCTCTCAGTATGAGAGGAGTGGGGGCCAGTCCCTTACTGGGCAGGACAAGAGCCTTGGTACCAATAAGCCAACTACTAAAGGGGATTTTCAAAAGAAAATAGTTCTGTGCCTGTGCTTTTGCCCTCCTTGAAAAAGGACCTATAATAACAGTGCACCTCCCCTGGGCTTTTATTAAAGCCAGCTGTGTTTCTGAGCACTTTAGGTGAGTGTCTCATTTAACCCTTATGACAACCATGTAGAGTGGGCACAGTTATCGTCCCCACTTTAGAGGTGAGGAAACTGAGGCCCAGAGAGGTTAAGTAACTTGTCCAAAGCAGTATGACCCAAACATGATCTTGGTAATTTCAAAGAAAGCACCTGTTGAGGGAGTGGTGGGAATGGGGCCAGCTAAAATGTGATTTGAGGGGTAGTTTGACATTTGGGCAAATTCCATGGCAAGAAACCCTTAGGTAACTCTCACTGCGGGAAAGTTCTGCTTTGCAGAGTGGCACAGGAATGGACTCTGAGAGTATGGGTGACACACAAGCACACAACTAATACATGGCAAGGCTGAGAGACACAAGTTTCTGCCTTTAACATTTTGCCTGTTTCAAAGAAAAGTTAAAAATAAGCGTATATTTTTAACCTGACTCTTTCACCAGTATTGAAGGTCATATCCTCGCATGGAATAGCTTCCCCTCTTCTTTAGAATACAGCTCAGCCCTGTATTGTATTTCTGGAAGGAGATGTTGTCCCAAACCAGTCGGTCTACAGTGTTCTCTCCTTCCTCTGTCTGTCCTCCGTGTGGGAACCACGGAGCTGGCCGTCAGTCATGTGCCTGCCTCATCATCTCTACTGAACTCTTCTCTCTCCCCGATTTTCATCTAAGTGGCATGAGTGTCTGAGTTCTACAGATAGGCTGAAGCTCTTTCAGAATCAGGACCGTGTTTCATACTCCACCACACACACACGCACACACACACAAAATGTGCTAAGACCCGACAAGGAATATTTATTGATTTTTCTTGATTGGATGAAGCAAGATGGCAACTCTTTTTTTTTTTTTTAACTTTGTAAACTGGTTCAAGGACTATAAAAATGATTTGCCATATGGGGTTGGTAAATAAAGAATCCCATTAAATCAATGTTTCTCAAGAACAATCCAACATCAGAAACCCAAGGGCTTCTGATGTCGGGGGTTGCAGTTGGGCCCAGGAGAATCTGCATGTGTCCCAGGTGACTTCAGCGTAAATGACTCTAGCTCTTATTCACTTAAGGTAAATGTATCCACTGTAGAAACATTCCTAACAATGTGTTGATGAATATTTATACCATGTTATTTTTCTTGCAGATTTCTAACCAGCATAATGCTGGAGCAGGAGGCTGGCAGCCTGCAGTTTTCAAAATGGCCGAGTTGGACACTGATTTGGATCACATCATTCCATCTTCTGTCCTTCCACCTTTCTGGGCGAAGTTAGTAGTGGGGTTTGTTTCCCTCGTGTGTTTCGCACGGAGCTATGATGGAGATTTTGTCTTTGATGACTCTGAAGCTATTGTTAACAATAAGGTTCGTGTCTTAATTCCTTTCTGATAAACTTACGTTCACCACTTGCCTATGTCTCCACAATAATCCAAGTTTGTGTTGAATTATTTTCTGTTAACCTTGGGTTAAGCATTTGCCTGGCTCAATTGTGTGCTCCAGGTTTCCCGTCTCTTTTAGATAGCGCTCCTTGATTTAGGGCCCCTTTTATTGCTGGCAGCGGAGTCTCCATCCCCTGCCTAACCTCAAGCTTCACCCTCCCCATGTACCCTATCTGAGGCCGCAGTCCACACCCATCTGAGACCCTTATTCTAAGATTGCAAGGCAAGGGTATTGCAGGGCATTGCAGACTAAGTATTTCAGGTTTTGTGACAAATTTTCAGAACTCTAGGCCAGAACTGTTCCAAAAAAAAACAATCACGCATTTGCTGCAGTGATGGACGAGTCCGATCGCCTGCCCAAAGGTGCATCCTCAGCAGCAGGCAGCGAGCTAGCTGCTTCTTTGTCCTTTGCTGATAGCATCAGGACAGCCTGCTGACAGCTGCTGAAGGACGAGGAGAGTGCTGCCCGTGGATGCCGCAGTTCCTGCTCATTTCATGTTTGGAGACTCAAATTTGCTGAATTTGCAAAATCCCAGCAAGTTTTGCTCACCAGTGGCTGCAGGGAAAATGATATCCTTTTTTACTCATTAACTAGAGATAGGGAAGAAGAAACAGGTTTGTGGGAAGGGAAGAAAAAGATTTAAGTGAGCTAAAAAAAAATCAGGACAAGAAACTCGGAGGCAGGGAGATCCCAGAGGAGAAAGAATTCAGAAATGGCAAGGTTAGAGCCTTGTGACGGTCTGGTTACTCCTTGGCTATTTTATGCGTGTGCCTTAACCAACGAAGAGAGCTGGAAGGAATATACTAATCTCTCTCTCTAGTAGATGCAATGGTAGGGTCTTTTCATGAAAAACACTGTTGTTGAATGCTCTTAAAGTTTTGAAGTCATAGATTCTGCCAAATGAGGAAAAAGTCATCTTCGTATTGAAATGTTGAGAAAAATTCTCTATGGGACAAACGTATTCTGGGGCAGGAGCGGGCGGCAGGGGAGTCACTGTTTTGCAGGTATTTTATTTGTAATACATTGTAGTTGATTTTTTCTATTTTGATGGCACAGACTACAGCATTGTTGACATTTGTTTTTAATTCAAGTTCTTCGCTTGAATTTTCCTCAGGTTCACCCAGCAGTTACTGCAGATGTTTCTGCTTCAGTTCTTTTTAAAACTATGCTTAAAAGAAAAAGAAGTTTGTAGCTCTAAGCAACTCTGTCACAGTGGTGGCTTACTAGCTACAGAATGGCTTTTCTAACAAGGATACGAGCATTTGCCTTTATTTTTTTAGTTCCCCTTTTCATTTTGTTGCGAGTTTCTTGACTCTTCTACTTTTATAAAGTGGAAGATCTATAAAGTGTTAACTCAGAACCTATGTCGAAGAGCTTTGGTGAGCAAGGCAGGGAGAAAACCGGAGCTGTGCTGTATGTGGGGTGCCCTGGTGTGTGGGTGTGATTCTCTTTCCATCTGTGTGGGGTAAGGCAGATGAAGCCGTTATGTGGCTCTACTGCACGTTGTCTTGGCAGTGTTTTCTAGAGCATCACACTGTGCCCCTTTGTTAACTTGCTAGCGCTCCCTTTTTTCTTTCCTGTTTAATGAAAGGCCCTCCTCCCTTCATTGGCCCCGTGCCGACAGTAATGTGAAACAGGCTGTTACTGGGTTTTGTTGGTGTTAAAGACTGTTTTCCAGATGCTTCCTTGTAGTGTTGAGTTGCCTTTTTTCATGGAGATGATGGTTTTCTTTGAGACAGTGGAGTTAGCAGGAATTTCAGACACAACACGTCTTTTCCATAAATCATTAGGAGGAAAAATTGACCTTTCTTCCCGTAGCGCGCCCTGCTGTGTGTAGGCTACACCTAATCAAATATTCAGAGCTTCGTTGGTGTTCATTTTCTGCTCAAATGGAGGGAAAGATTCTCCGCCCAGCCCCTTCACAACCAACAGGTATTTCTGGGGCAATGCAAAAGAAGATGGACTTCCAGTTTTGTAACTGAGTAACTAAATTAGTGAGTGGATTGCATGACCTTCACGAAATATCTGACTCTTAGGAGTTGGTGCACTCCAGGCCTCTCAAGCCGATACCCAGTGAAATGAAATTCACCTTCAAAGTGGGTATCAGGTGACCACCTTTGCATCTGTCGCCTGTCCTCAAGCCTTCCCCTTTGAGTCAGCCAGTGCTTAAGTAGCGAATACTTACCATACTCTACCGTGTGCCTTGCTCTTGGCTGCCCAGGATTTGACATACTTCTTCTGTGCAGGGCATTCCCCACCTTAGGATAGTTATAAGCTGCAAAGACTGTCCGGTTTAGATGCAGTCACAAGCATAGGCTCTCCTATCAGGTGTGCCCCCCTGTCGGAGTCAGGAGCTAGTCATGTAAAGAGGACGAGGTCTGGAGGCGGCTGGGCAGCCTCTGCAAGATGTCCAGTGGTGTGATTTGTTGGTGCTTCTGGCTGCACAGCCCTGAACCTGTCCACCCGGGAGTCTGTGAGACTTGCAATCTCCTTTAAAGCAATCCTTTTTTGCTTAAGTCCATCAGCTGATTTTGGTTACTGCAACAAGAGTCTTGACTGATAGCCGGTTGGTGCTTAGCACATCATAATTTCTGGTCCTTAAAGTATTCCTGTTTAATTATGCTTCAAAGGAATATTAACATGCAGTTTTGTTACTTCCTTCAGAGTGCTTTGTCTGCCTTTCTTCTTGTTAGACACAGTTTAAACAATCTGGTTGCATATTTAAATGTTAAAAAAATGCATTTTTAAGCATCTGTAGTACAGTACCAAATTAAATTACCTTAGTAGTAAGATAGGTCTCGTTTTTTAATATTTATCTTTAAATAAATATTAAAGTGATCTTTAATCTTTATCTTTAAAAGCTATGTGGAAGTTGTTTTTCTTTAATTTTACTATCTGCTTAGCTCATGATCAAAAATGGAAAACTTTAAAAAATATATGTTAATCCACTCTTATGTTTTAAGTCGGATATTTTTGGTATATTGCTTTATGTATTGGATGTGAGAGAGAGTAATAATGATCTCGTTTAGCTATATGGTCCATTCATTCACTCGACATGGATTAAGCACCTTCTGTGTACTCCCTGCAAACACATGTGTGGCCTGGGTCTCGTGGAGCCGCAGTGCAGTGGGGCAGACAGATAATAGTTAATGTGATTATAAATCGCCAGTGTGCCGAGTTCTGAGAGGACAGGTGCGAGATGTCCCAAAACCCATGGAAGGGGAATTGCATCAGCTCAGGAAGGTCATGGCTCGATGGCTGAGATATGAACGGCAGGAGGAGTGGAGCTATGCAGAGTTGAGGGGTGACTGTTTGGGTGGGGACCTGTGCGTGCAAAGCCTTTGGGATGCGTGGCAGCAGAAGCCGTGTGGGGACCGGACGAAGGCCAGTAACAGGAGCACGGAGTCCGAGAGATGAGCCTGCAGAGTTCGGAGAGAGCCAGAGCACCCCGGGCTGTGACATCCGGGCTGTGACATCCGTGTCAGGACATCGGCTTTGCCCTGGGGGTGGAGCAGGGGGTAGTGGGGAAGCTACTGCAGTGTTTTAAGCAGGGTAGGGTGGGGTGACCCAGTTTGCATTTTGGAGAAATCAATGTGGAGAACATATCAGAGGGCACCGTGGACACACTAGGAGGCCTGGCTGTATGCTAGGTGAGCGATGATGGCGGCTTGGCCCAGGACTGGTGGGAGAGATGGAGGATACAGGTATGAGGAACTTTAAAGAAGAGGTCGTGGTGAGGGCTTAGATATGGGGTGAGGGAAGAGTCATGACTCCTTTGCCCAGAATGTCCTCTGGTGTGTTCCTGCAGGACCTCCGGGCTGAAACGCCCCTTGGGGACCTGTGGCATCATGACTTCTGGGGCAGTAGACTGAGCAGCAACACCAGCCACAAGTCCTACCGACCTCTCACCGTCCTGACTTTCAGGTGAGGTATGCCAGCATGGGCTGTGCGGGAGGGTCACCCAAGGCTTGTGCATGATACTGTACCAGGTTTGATGTGACAGGATTCCCAGTGTCAGAGAGTCAAGTCAGTGGTTCTTAGGCAAGCATAAGCCACTCACCTATATGGGTGTCCAAGAAGTGGCTGCTAATTTCAACTGGTAGGAGTTAGGTCACAGGAAGACTGAGAGAAGGTGCATGAGGAAACTTCATTTCGGGGCTCACTCTGGCAGTACAGATACTGAGAGCGGAACACTGCAGAGCGGATCAGCATGGCCCCTGAGCAAGGGTGACGTGCAAGCCTTCCATACTTTGTACACTTCTTGGAGGTTGGACCCTTTGTTAGTTAACACCAAGGAAATGGTATGAGTGAAAATAACATGCGGCATCTAATGAAGCTGATTTCTTTTCACTACAAAAAAAAAAGGTATAAATTCCAGTATGCAAAAATAAAATGAAGCTAAAAACAATCTCACTGCCCCCTCAGTAATCAGGGAGCTCTTTGCATTATATAAATTTGTTCACCTCACAAAAGTTCCCTTTCATAGCTGTTTCTTGGGTGCATTAAATACTAGTGTATAAATCTCTCATTGAAGCAGGGAAGCAATGATTTGGAATCACTGGTAATTGTAAAGCAGTCAGAAATAAGGAATGAGAAAGCGTTTCATTGGACAGAGGCTGGTGGACAAACTGTAATTTTGATTGAGAAGTTACGTGAGTGTCTTAAACCCAGGTCTCTGTGGGGTAGCCATGAGTAGTGTGTGGTATGTTATATCTTCTTGGAATGTAGTCTTGCCTTTTTTGCACATAAAAAATTGTCTAGGGGCTGGCCCAGTAGTGTAGTGGTTAAGTTCGCGCGCTCAACTTCGGCGGCCCAGGGTTCGCAGGTTCAGATCCCAGGCGCAGACCTGCACACCGCTCACCAAACCATCCTGTGGCAGCATCCCACATACAAAATAGAGGAAGATTGGCATAGATGTTAGCTCAGTGACAATCTTCCTCAAGCGAAAAGAGGAAGATTGGCAACAGATGTTAGCCCAGGGCCAATCTTCCTCACAAAAAAAAAAAAAATTGTCTAGTTTTCCTTTCCCTTTTCCTCTCCAACTATTTTCTGTCCCACTCCTCTGAGATACCTTTATCTTCCATTTTCCCTCTGCAGTCCATTAAGTTCTTACCTTTGCTTAACCTTATTAGCTTGACAGGCATTATTTATCTTGACACTATTTTTACCAAGCTTGCACGCAATCTTTCTCTTCCTCCTTTAATATTTTCTCTCACCAGCCTTTTCCTTCAGACGATTTGCATTTTATTTCACATGCTTTCTGCACATCTGGTGTGAACACCCTTTGTTCACTACAGGATTAACTACTATTTGTCGGGAGGCTTCCACCCTGTGAGTTTCCACGTGGTCAACATCCTCCTACACGGTGGCATCTCTGTCCTCATGGTGGATGTCTTCTCAGTGCTGTTTGGTGGCCTGCAGTACACCAGTAAAGGCCGGAGGTTAAACCTGGCCCCCAGGTCCTCCCTGCTGGCGGCACTGCTGTTTGCCGTGCATCCGGTGCACACAGAATGTGTAAGTATTGTTTGCTCACGGCATGTGCACTCGTGTGAGGATGAGAAGCCCTCCATATGTTGGCTCGTTTCCTAAAACAGGTGTCCCTTAAATACTCATAGAGCTATAGAAAGTATACTCTGCCGTGCCCTGCCAGACATTTGAAACAATTATTTGTAGGTCCAACAGCTCTCTTTTATGAAAAATGCAAAGTCTCATATTGGTGAAGACTTTATAATAACAGGATGGTACAATCTCTGCTGATGCTTTCTGTTTGGCTTGTATGGCCACACTGTAAAGGTATGCATGTTGAATAGTACCTGGCTTTGGGGTCTAAAAGCCAGAGGCTAAGAAACTTTCTTCACTGAAGGGTCTGATGCAATTTTCTTGTGTTAGCTGAGAGCTTTATAATTTTCAAAATGCTTTCTCGTACTTAATGTGATTGTCACAAAAACTCTGTAAGATCAGATTGGCTAGCGTAACAGTTTCCACTCAACAGAAGAGTAAATGGCCTGGGAGGATGAATGAAGGACTTGTCCCAGGTCAGTCAACTGATGGGTCGATTTAGGGATAGAATTTAAAATCTGATCTCCTGAGGCCTGGGCTGAGGAGATGCCGGCATACTTTGAGTTGAACTGGAAAGTGGCTCCCCCTGCCCTCCTGGGGATCGCTCATGGATTCTCCCCACCTTCCTGCTCCTCGTCTTCTTCACTCCCTGTATTGTCCTCCTCCCCTGACGGACTGCCCAGGAGACGGGGCAGCTCCTGACAAGTGACTGACCTGCTGTCCAGTGAGCCAAGCCTTTATTCCATTGAGCTGCTGCTGAATATATTTGGTACAAGCAGTGTTGGGATTTAACTAAACACTTATGGGATTTTCAGGGACCACCCTACCCCCACCCCATGGAACCCTTTGAAAATGTAAGTCAGCATGTTTGCTGGGGTAAAAGATTTGATTTCAGCCATTCATTCTGTGAGCGTGACATACCTAGGATAAAATACTACATGTACTTTATTGCTTCTCCACAATAGACTTCAACATTTAATATGTATTTAAATACCTACATATTAACCAACTGTGTTGAGCATCTTGAAGTAAGTTTCAAAATACTGAGCAGAATTCTTGTCTTTAGCATCTGATTTTATTAATTTTATTAAACTGTTCTTTGATATTAAGAGGATTGTGGAATTGTTATCACAACCTTCTCCTAATATCTTATTACTTTAAAGCTTTTAAAAAAAATTCTCCTAATTTTTTACTTCAGCAAATTCAGAGGACTGAAGGGAACTATTGTAAAAGATTAGTTATAAACTATTTATTAATATGTTACTGTGACCGAATTAGAATTTGTTTTGGTGTGAGTTCTCTTTATGGTCTAAATGTTTAGAAATAGTATACACATTGATCAGAAATAAGGGAATTTCTGGCAAAAGTACTGGTTGACTGCTTTGGTCCTCGTCTAATTTAGTATAAACTTAAAAATTAAAAGCAAAATGAAATATCTGAATTATTAACCAAAGAAATTTTTCTAAAATGTTGATGTTAAATATTGAGAAGTTAGCTTATAGAAAAAGTTTGAAGTGTCAACAAGTGTAGCTGGATGTGTGCATACACGTACATACACACATGCCCCAGATAAATGTAATCCGGGCACATTGTTAACCCCAAAATTCTATATTCGAGATATTTAAAAAGAAGCCAAGGGAAGTCTAGCTATAGGAGAGAAGGAAGTATTTGAAAAAAATCTCTTCGTCTCCCTCTCCACTCCATTCCATGAAAGTCATTCAAACTCAAATTGCAAGAAAAAGTTATGGCTCGTTAAAAATCAGCATTCCTACGAGAGAGATTTTGTGTGTTTACCTTTCATTGTTTTGGCAAATGGTATTCAGTTTCCTCTTATCTGCACCCCCTTGTTATCGCCCGCTCTACATTTAACCCAGCCTTAAAAAGGAGCGAGAAGCAGGACAACCCAAGGGACCAGCTGGAAGGAGGGCTCCTCAGAGGTTCGCAGGCTGTGTGGAGGAAGCAGCCCTGTGCTCTGGGCTGTGGGCCCGTCAGTGTCGCTTGACAGCCCTCGGCACGGCACGCCCCGACTGAGCGTTGATCTGGATGAGGAGACTGGGGATTTGGGTAGTACCTGTGCTTCTGTTCACATTTATTAAGGGAAAGCAGTGGCAGTGTAGGCCCCGCCAGGTTTTAGTAGTGTAAATACCTATATTCACATTTATGTGTTTTGTGTCTTTATAACTTCTTGACATGAACATTGAGAATGTTTTTGCTGACTGCAAATAAGAACCTAAATTTTCCAGTCTTCTAGGCTGACGAACCTTCCAGTTTGCCCAAGATTAAGGGGGTTCTGGGACATTGGACTTTGCATTTTAAACCAGGGACAGTCCCAGGCAGACCTGGATGAGTGGGTCGCCCTACAGTCTTCCCATCTCCCAGTCCTTAATTGGTGGTGAAATAATTATAATCAGTGTTATTTGTTCCTCACCTGATATGAATGTCTCTTAAAAGTTTTCACTTATGCCACTCTGGGCTATTGTGGGTGTGTAAGGCCTCCACAGACCAGTCACCAGGGGAGGGAGCAGAGCTAAGGAAGTGGGTTGCTCAGCCCCTTGTCTATTTGGAGACCAGGATGGAGGCCCCTGGGAGTTCCCTGAGGACACTGGTGCCACTGGAGGTTTCCCTTTTCCTAAAAGCATTGGTGAAGATTTTAAGTTGCCTAAATTAGGTTATCAAAGAATGATTCTCAGGCCTCCTTAAGAATTCTGCCCATCCAGTGAACCCAGCGTATCATGCTGAAGGAATTAGATGGGGAAATATTCCCTCTTCCCCTAATTCTTTCTTATGGCCCCTGTGCACATTGTTCCTAGTGGGGAAACAAGGATGCCACCTGCTCTATGGATTTGGGGAGGTTGCAGGGATTTCTCCAGAAAACCCTGATATGAGTGTTTCAGGTTATTTATAAGGAAAAAAATAGCCTTTGTAAAGAACCCTGCCTGAAAAGACATATTATGCAAATATCACAAAAGAAAAATAAAATCTCTCCATATTCATGTCCCTCCTCCAGACAATTGGACACAGTGCCTCCTTGATAGCCTTTTAAATGTTTTTCTGTGAAATCTCTTTAATTACGATGCCAAAAATTCATTGTAAAGACTAAATACTCTTTTTACTTTAAAACACTTGCCATACTTGTTAAAACTTGTTTTTCTTTATGTCAGACAATGTAATGTACGTTGCTTAAAGACTTGGGAGTATCTGCACCAACTAGCCAAAGGAAGAATGTTTGTTTTAAAAATAAGTTTATGATGTTTAACGTGCATTTTAGTGCAAGTCTTTAAATGCACCTTAGCTATCCAGGTAACAAGTGGTTAGGCTGGTTGTTTTGGCCCCCATCCCTGGTATTTGTCCAAAGCACCTCCCTCCCCTTTGCTCACTTCAAGAAACCTTATTCTCTGACTCTCCACGTCCCCCACCTCCTGCTTCCCCTGCCTCTGTGCTCTAAGGAGCCTTTGGATAAGCTTCTCTGGGTTGGTTTCACTTACTTTATCCTCTGTAAGGGTTGGGGCCGGGCCGTCCTCAGGCCCTGTATGTAGCCACAGCTGGAAGATGTTGCTCCTTTCCCTCTCATCGTCCTGGGGGGAGGCTCACAGGACCAACTGCTCCAGCTGCTCCCTGGTCACTCACCTCGGTGCTGCGGAGCCCATGCCTGCCTCACCCCAAGCTGCTATGTCCTCTGTCTGTTCCTTTCTGCTCTCGTGTTTATGCACGCACCCTGGGGGATTCATGCAGGATCTACCGGTGAGCCAGCACCTACTGTGTGCCGGGCTCTGTTCAGTTTTGCTGCATCCCTCATTTTACTGTGCCCCTGATTGAGTTACAGGCTTGAGTTTTCAAGAACTCTCATTGCACATTCCCTTCATTCATAGTAATTGGACTGTTTAACCTGCAGGCGTACTGGCACACTTGTTCCAGATCTATTGAAGCTTTATTTGTCCTTAGCTTCCTTTCATGATTGTGGCATTCACAGGTTGAATTCATCGGCTCCTTCAGTCTTAGCGACTGTGTGACACCACGGGTTGCCACATGCCTTTTGGGGAGTTCACCATCAGAATGGATAATCGCCCTCAGCATTTCATATCTAACCAGCGTAGTGGCAAACTGCTCCGAAAAGGCATTCTTTTTAGCTATTGCTTGTATCCACACTTGGGAATTGCATGTAAATATAGTAATTTTCATATTCATTTTATATTCTCCTGTCTCCATAGTCTTTATTCTGCATCTCACATATCATATGTCTGTCCTGTAAGAGAAGGTGAACTTACCAGCCATTAAAGCGATCCCTAGAGAATCACAGTAAAGCTTTGCTATATGTCACATCCAGGTGCTAGTTAGTGAAGAATGCCACATAAACTAGACCAACACTCATGAGTGGAATTCCGTGTCTTTCATTGCCACGAAACATTTGGAGAACAATTATTGGAGTAATCAGTCTGAAAGAAATGGAACACAAATTTTATATTGCTTCATTGTCACTGAGGTAAAGAAGGAAAGGGAGTTATCAGGTGTGGAAAATCAGGGGAAGAAATGGTAGAGACTGTCTTCTGTTTCATCCTACTTGTCACCCACTTTTGAAGCGTTCTGCTTTCCAGGTTAACCCACGTCATCACTTTAGGTCTGAAGGGGGGAAAGATGGCGGAGGCAGCTTTGAGCAGTTACTCCTGTTCTTCTTCTGTCTGCCTGGTGACTTTTAACACTAATTGCCCACCTTTCCTTCATGTTTCCAATCAAATTTTCTTCTTTAAATATCATGCCCTTTGAGCTGATAACATTTTCCCGTTGAAAATCCACTTTGGGGACCTGGTCAGAAGCGTAGGTCTCTGGAGCTGTAGGGGGCAGCATACTGAATAACAGGGCCTTCACTGCACATGTGCGTCACTGACTGTCCAGCTCACAGAGTAGCCATCGTAGGTTCAAACCAGTCTAGCTTTCTCTTGAAAGCAGTTACTCAAGTCCTAGACCAAAAGAGAGAAGAAAACCAGTTGTAAGATAAGACCGCAGGGCTGTTGCCCAGTTACACAGATTATTTTAATAGATGGCAGAGTCTAGTAAAGTTTTTGTTTTCTGTCTCTAAGGCATTTTTGTATTTCCAAAGTTTTGTTTAAATGTTTTTTATGTCAATCTTTTTTTCTTCCTCTTCTTTTAAGGTTGCTGGTGTTGTCGGCCGTGCAGACCTCCTGGGGGCCCTGTTCTTTCTCTTATCTTTCCTTGGCTACTGTAAAGCATTTAGAGAAAGTAAGCATGATGTTTGCCTTCTTAATGTTGCATCTTCCTGTTTTTGCATATCGTGCAGTGTTTTAACAGATGGGAAATTATCCATTTATGTAAGTTTATCACTTTGAGGGAATATGGGTCAAAAGGTGTAAACTCTCTTTAGATATGTCTGTTTACACCATCGCTTTTTTAATAATTCAGAGTTTGTACATCAGTGTTCACATGGGAGTATCCTGTGGGGTGGTGAAACCAAGAGCTTCTGCTCTTGGTACTAAAGCCATTGTGATTGATTTTTGTGGTTTTATTTCCAACAAAATTGTAGAGGAAAAAGCTTTTGGTTATTTTTTGTTAAAATCTCTTGGAAAAAAGAATAGAAAAATGCTAAAATGTGAATATGCACCTGGACTATGAGGTTCTTGTTTTTTCATTGTAGTGTTATTAATACTTACTAAGTAAGTCATTGTTGTTGGAACTAATGAAGTTGCAATGACCAGTTGGGGGCAGTATTGCTTGGTTATTAGCAGCAGTTATTGAGATACAGTGGAATCCCTGTCTAACTCTACTCATTATATAGATTCTGATCATCTCCAAGTCAAATCATACCTTCCAAATTATTGTATGGTAGAAGTTGGATATGCTACATTTAGCTTATGTAGCAGTTATGCATGCTGGTCCAGTAAGAGTGTCAGAAATTCAACTTCTGTTATGAATTCAATGTATGGACTGTAGAACTCTCTCCGTAGGTATCCCCATCAATTATTTATATTTGCTAGGGGAGAAGTAGGGAAGTGGGGGGGCTGCTATGCTCTGCAGCCCTAGAGCAGGGCCATGTCAGCAGAAGCAGTGGTGCCTTGGCCTCCTGGAGGCTTTTCCACAGTGTCTCTCAAAGCAGAAGTCCACTCGAGGGCTGCCGGGGCCTTCGTGTCATTGTTCACGTACAAATGCTTGTGCTTTGATTTCTCCTGTGAATTAATCTCTTACTAATAATGAAGTTCAGACCCGTCCTTCGGGATTTTGTGGTGCTGGGGCTGGTGAGACGGAATAGCTCAGTGGGAGGAGTAAACAGGGACCCTAGGCCAAATCCAGCCCACTACCTCCTCTCCTACGGCCCCCAAGCCAGAGTGATTTTTACAGTTTTAAATGGTTGGGGAAAAAAACCAAGAACAATATTTCGTGACATATACAAAGTCATATGAAATTCAGAGGGTTTTTTTTGTTTTTTTGGGGTGAGGAAGACTGGTCCTGAGCTAACATCTGTGGCAGTCTGCCTCTATTTTGTATGTGGGTCACCGCCACAGTGTGGCTTGATGAGTGGTGTAGGTCCATACCCGGGATCCGCACCCGCAAACCCTGGGCCACTGAAGCAGAGCGTGCTGAACTTAACCACTATACCACCTGGCCAGCCCTTGAAATTCAGATTTTCATGTTCACGTAGAAAGTTTTATTGGAACATAGGCACACACCCTTGTTTTCATTTTGTCTGTGGCTGCGTGTGCCCTACAATGGCAGAGGTTAGTAGTTTCAGTAGAGGCCATCTGACCTACAAAGCCTGAAATACTTACTGCCCTATCCTTTACAAAGTTTGCCAGCCCTTGGGACACGTGATTTCACAGGATAGCTGTCACCATCTGAGTGGTTCCCCAAATTTTTTTTAGCAGCTATTAATAGGGAGTTTCCAGCAGGAAGTTTTTACTTACGAACCTAGATGACTTTACTGTTAATATAATCATTGCCATTTACTGGACAATCTGCGTGTATGTGTGTATATGTATTTTTCTCATTTAATTATGTAATAGCCTTCGAAGTAGGTGGAATTACTTCGCCCATTTTCCCAGTGTAGGACTCAGAGTTTAAGTTCCTCTCCCAGGGTCACACAGCTTTTTATGGCAGAACTGAGTCTGTCGAACTCACTTCAAAGCCGGCACCAGCTGCACTGTGTTCTTCTGCTTCCCTGCGCTCCTGGGACCGGTGAGGCAACCTTATCCCAACAATCGTGAAAAATAACCAGGAGGGACATTCAATTCTGTTAACAAATTGTTAAAATGTTAGGTGTGGTAATGACATCACAGGTATGCTTTAAAAACAATCCCTTTCTTTTAGAGACACATGCTGAAATATTTGCGGATGAAATAGTGTAAAGTCTGAGATTTGCTTCAAAATAAGCTAAGAGGAAGCAGGAAGGGTGTAGGCATGTAGATGAGGACAGACTGGCCAATAATTATTTAAGCTGAGTGATGGTGACATGAGAGTCCCTATATCAGTATCTCTACTTTGGGATGTGTTTTTTGTTTTTTAAAAAAGATGATTTGGGCCGGCCCCGTGGCTTAGCGGTTAAGTGCGTGCGCTCCGATGCAGGCTGCCCGGGTTCGGATCCCGGGCGCGCACAGACGCACTGCTTCTCCGGCCATGCTGAGGCCGCGTCCCACATACAGCAACTAGAAGAATGTGCAACTATGACATACAACTATCGCCTGGGGCTTTAGGGGAAAAATAAATAAATAAAAAATTAAAAAAAAAAAGATGATTTGTTTTTTACTGGCCAGATGAGTCACCAGATTAAGAATCAACAGATTTTGGTGACTTTTTTTAATCTTTAAAACATTGTGTTTATCTAAGACAACCAGATTATATATTTTTAAGGATTTTTTTTTTCCTTCTGACATTACATGAAACAGGTGAATAATTAATGACTTAATAATTTTGTTATGGAATTGGAAGGGAATATCTAAAACCAAAATGTAATGGTGTAATTTAGCAATTAAACATGAAAAACTTAACATATTAGAACAGGCAACTGGAATAAATTTATAAAATATTTCATACAAAAGAACATAGGTGGTATATGTCATACAATAAAATGAACACCTGTGAACTCATCTCCCAGTTACAAAAAAAAAGTCACCTTTTCTATAATTGGAACACTGTAGAGACTGCTTCGTCACCTCTCCCCCACTGCCTCTCACCCCTAGCCCTTTGCCCACATGGGACCATCCCTGAAGCCCGAGGTTCTGCCTCTCCCTGAGGTCTCTATGGGCAATCGTATGGAAGGTCAAACAGCATCTCCTTCCTTTTCTCTTCCGCCCTATGACTCCCAGGTGCTGTCAGTCTCCAAAATAAGTGCTGATGGGGCTACTTACCTTACTGTTCACTCACAAGGATTCTAAAAGTTTCTAAAACAAGTTTATCTTTCAAAAAAATGCTATCCTAAGGTGAAAATAGCACACAGACCAGATTCTTCTCTTGTGATTTTTTTAATGTCTTATAAATGTGGGAGTTCTCTAGCAGACACAAGACAAAGAATTAGTTTTATTATTTAAATCTCAGTAGGCTTTTTTCTTTATTGTAGTAAAATATACGTAACATAAAATGGACCGTTTTAACCATTTTTAAATGTACCAGTTCAGTGGCATTAAGTACATACACCTTGTTCTATAACCATCACCACCATCCATCTCCAGATCTTTTTCATCTTCCCAAACTGAAACTCTATACCCATTAAACAATAACTCCCCATTCCCCCTGCCCCCAGCCCCTGGCAACCACCATTCTGTTTCTTTTTTTTTTTTTTTAATAATTTTATTTATTTTTTCCCCAAAGCCCCAGTAGATAGTTGTATGTCATAGCTGCACATCCTTCTAGTTGCTGTATGTGGGACTCGGCCTCAGCATGGTGGGAGAAGCAGTGCATCGGTGTGCGCCCGTGATCTGCACCCCGGGCCACCAGCAGTGGAGCGCACGTACTTAACCGCTAAGCCACGGGGCCGGCCCCATTCTGTTTCTGTCCGTGAATTTGACTACTCTAGGTACCTCGTATAAGTGGAACCATACAATATTTGTCCTTTTGTGACTATCTTCAAGGTGCATCCATGTTGTAGCATGTGTCAGAATTTCCTTCCTTTTTAAGGCTAAATAATATCCCATTGTATGTATATATCACATTTTGTTTATCTGTTCATCTGTCAATGGGCATTTGGGCTGTTTCCACTTTTGGCTGTTGTGAATAGTGCTACCATGACCATTGGTGTACCCAATAGACTTTTTAAAAAAGAACAATAGACTTTCTTTTAACCCTTATTTTTTTCTACAAAAAGGCAGGATTGCAAACTCTTCTAAAACCTGTAGGTTGTACTATCTTAGTGTTCTAGTTATTTATAGTTACAGACCTGGAACATCCGTGTAGAAACTATCCATAGTTTCCAAGGGTGGATTGGGAAGGGCCTGTGAGATTTATCACTCACTGCCCCTCCTCCATCTGTCATGTTCAGGCTGACCATGGGGCTCAGGTTGTGTGTCTTGGAGCACCTATTCTCTCAAACCTGCAACTCCACTAAGACACTGTGGAAGGGGGACCCCAATGGCCCCAGACTATGCCATGCTCACTCAGGACTTGGTTACACCCAACCACTCCCCAACCCTTTATTATTATTATTTTATCATACCCAGATAAAACCACCACTTTTCCTGTGACTCATCATTTTTCTGATAGGACAGAGGGTTTGGGGGCAGCTGAATAGAACAGTTTCAAGTATAGAGACAGTGATGGTGACTTTTCTTCCCGAGACTGAAAGTTAACTTAGCAGTAATGCATGTCCACCTCTTCCCCATGGGTGGGGAGATCCCCACCTATGATGATCGTAAAACTCGCAAGAGACATGTGACCCCCAGGGATCTGGTGGGGGGCAGGGGTGTTGCATCTGCCCCATAGCAGATTCCACCATATCATATGGCTTTTCCATAAGATTGTGAGTTAGTAACAGGATTGGGAGACAGGGAGAGGATCCATTTACTACCTCACTGTTACGGTCATTACAAACAATGGTATTTTGTGTTCTTAAATTGGGAATTAAATCTGAATTAGCAGTTATATAGGATAACAATTTATTGTTAGTAGTATTTTTCCTGAATAAATTAAAAATTAAATTGGTTGGCTTATCTCGAAGACAACTCTAAAGTTTTATGAAGTGTCATTTTATTAATTTTAACTTACCTTCCATTAAAGTAACTACTCCCTATTCCGAATGA